CTTACCATAGGAGCTTGGACGAGGTTCCATGACTCATTAGTGAAAGGACTGGGGCGAGGCCCAAGACAAGCGAGGCCTAAGGACAGGATTACAGTAGGGTATGTTCAGTTATGTGATTTATGCTAATTTTATTATGTGGTTACCGGGCGTGGCCTAGAGGTAAGAGGGGCCTAAAATAAACAGAACCGTATCCGAGCGGGGCTCGAAGCTAGGCGGGGCCGTTGTAGCGGGCAGGGCCTGAGGTAGCGAGCGAGCCCCAGAATAGCGGGTGTGGCCTAGTATATGCTGTATGTATGCTTTGAGATTGTATGGTATGTGGTAGGTTAGGGAACTCACTAGGCTTCATGCTTACGTTTTTCAGTTTTGGTTTTAGGTACTTCTGGTAGCGGAGGGACGAGCTCAGGATGATCGCATGACCGGGCGGAAGGCCAACGGAGGTAGTTAGTGGGTGTTAGGTCTAGCAAGCAGAATGTTGAAAGCATATTGCACGGCGATCAACCGTAGAGAATCTTCGAGGATGAAGTTTAGTTTAAGTGGGGGAGAGTTGTAACACCCATAATCAGAAAGAGCAAGAAAGTAAGGGGAAAACCCTAAGTCAAATGGGCCAACTCGTTGAGTCCAGGGTGGAACTCGACGAGTCCGAGCAAGATCCGTGTCGAAGAGTAAGTGACCGACTCGACGAGTTGGAAAGATGACTCGGCGAGTCTGGTCAGGATTGGGAAACCCTAAGTCCAGGGATTTTTGAACTATGTAATCATCTCATTCTCTCCCTTAGGGTTCTCTATAGCCTCTCTTATCCATAACACAAAACCGTAAGCCTCCATTTTGTCACATTCAAGCTTTCTTGCCATTTTGGTTGATTTGAAGGAAGAAGGAGGAAGGGAACCTTTAGTGATTCAAGGATTGGCTTTAGATCTAGAGTTGGTGTGGCTTTTTAGATCCTATGAGGTAATAAGTTGACCCTATTGCACTTAGATCTATCTTATGATTGAGTTTTGGGCATTTTTGAGTATAGAGGAGGTTTATTTTCGAGTTTGGAGTAGATCTGAGGTTGCTACCTCAGATCTAGGCTATTAAGGATCCAGAAAGCCATAAAGTTTATGCCAATAAGTTGTTGGTGAAGCCCCTTCGTCAAAAAACCTAGCCTTGGAGTGTTTTAAGCCCATATCTCTTTAGTTTCACGTAAAGTTTGCAACTTTACGTGAGGAATGGACTTGGGAAGAGTGGATCTATGAGTTGGAGCCCCTACATGGCTCGAAAAGCCACTTTATGGAATAAGAACTGAAGCAACTCGACGAGTCACATGGGTGAACACTGAGAGTTGGATGAAGATGAGCATGGACACGACGAGTTGGAAGAACAACTCGGCGAGTCTGTTGAAGATTGTCATGGACTCGGCGAGTCTGTTCTTGGACTCGGCGAGTCAGGGCACGAAGCACTAACACCTTCTGGTTAAGACTTAGATCGGTGAGCTGAGTGGAGACTCAGTGAGTTGGGCAGGATGGGACTCAGAGATCGTTGAACTAGACGAGTCTTGGGGTGACTCGGCGAGTAGATTTAGATAAGAATGTTGACTTGGACCAGGAGTTTGACATTGGCAAGAGTGGACTTAGGCGGTTTCTAAGAGTTCAGTTTGGGACTAAGTGTTATATGATATTGATATTGATAGCACGGGGAGCTAGTGGAGTAGCAGTTCAGAGCATTATAGGACAGCAGCCATAGGGTTATCAGCAAGTTTGGCAATGCAAGTGAGTTTTCCCTTTGTGTGAATGGGTCTACGGCAACAATATCGGCCCGTGTAGTTATGATTAAGAAGACCCAGGGGTTAGCCCTAGGCATGATTTGCTAGTATGATATTCCGGACCAAGGTCCGATGTCGGGCGGGTGCCCAAGGAATGGTTTGCATGTTAGAGTATACTTGTTGTCTGTGTGATGCATGTATGTGCCTGGTAGGAAGGTGAGTATGTGCGAGGTCCCGTATCTCACCAATAGCAGAGTATGGATGGTGTTCCATATTTCATTAATAGCAGAGCATGGGCGAGGCTCGAGATAGGCATGGAGTGAGTGTGAGTGTGGCCCGTATCTCACTTACCGTAGGAGCTTGGACGGGGTTCCATGACTCACTAGTGATAGGACAAGGGCGAGGCCCAAGACTGGCGAGGCCTAAGGACAGCAAGTATTCAGACAATATACACACATAGCACCTAATTTATATAAAATACTTCATATCTATGTGTAAGATGAAAGTAACTATGCACTCACTTGTTAAAGTTGTGATTCCAAACTCGGGCAGCGCTTCGCTTTTAACGATTTTGTTTCCCTTTGACGAAACCTAGCATTATTATCGCTAAGTTTTAGTCTAATCTTTATGGCGACTAATTATTATTCTTGATTCATCATTAACTCAAAGTCTACTTTCATGATCTATCAAGTAATGAACAACCAGGTAGGATCATCTCGAAGGTAGGGTCCATTTGGTATACGAAATATACTATTTGGAAATCCCACTTTAAACACCTCACTAAATCATAGCTTAGAACATCATCCCCTTAAGTAGATCAATCAGTATAACAACTTTGAATCACTAATAAATCTTATTTCTAGGTTCATAATATAGATATTATATTTAAATATAAGCTATATTTAAAGTGCGGTAGGCTTATTTCACTTACAACGGGTTTTATTAAAAACCGGGCTCCGCTGGAGAAGAGATTCTAAGACAAAAAACTCTTTTTCTTGGAGCCTTCATATGCTACGGGGCTTTCTTCTAGCACTAGGAAAGTTTCCTAGGCTTTTTTTTTTTGGGGGGGGGGAGGGCGGGGTTATGGAGTCTAGAGAGCAGTTAGAGAGAGAAAGAAAGGCTTATGGTGTGAAGAAAATATGAAGAGTTCATCTCTTATTTATAGGGGTTTTATCATAAAGTAGGCCCTAAGTTTCGTCTATATCTTCCCCATCGGAGCTTTGTTTCTACGTTCTTTATATCCAGGCGTTCGTATTTACAAGTACTACAACTTTCATTAAGACCCCGTCGGCTAATTCTCATTCTATCTCAGATTTACAAAACTGTATCGAATTCACCACGCTTGAAGAGTATAGACTAAGTTTTGTCCATATATTTAGCATACGAGCTCTATTCTAGACATTATTTATACCCACACTTTGGTATTTATGAGTACTACAACTTTCATTTAGACCCCATCGGCTAATTCTCATTCTATCTCAGATTTACAAAACTGTATCGAATTCAATACGCTCGAAGAGTGGGGACTAAGGTTCGTCCATATCTTTCGCATACGAGATCCATTTTCGATTGTCTTTTTATCATTTAAATCCTATTAGATATATTCATTTCTCGTTTAGATTATTTTGGCTAAAAATTGACTGATCTAAAATTCGAATTTCCGGTTATGCATTGTTATGCTAAATCTTAGAAAAATCGTAACTTCCTCATACGAAGTCAGATTTGGACGTACTTTTTATGCACGCTCTTTTTTAACATATACTATGACTTTCGTTTATATAGATAAGGCTAGAAAGTATTTTATCGCAAATTCAATTTTTACGATTCCCGGTGTCGTGTCGGTTTTGCCGTAAAATTTCGACGGGTCATAACTTCTTTGTTATAACTCGGATTTCAGCGTTCTTTATATGTACTGAATCCCTGAGACATATTATACAACTTGGTTAATATTACTTATTCTAAATTTTTTTTTTCAAAAAGTCATTTTCGACACTTATTTCCTCTAAATTGACTAGTTCGGATCTGCGGGCATTACAGTTGATATATGGTGAGACTAGCCAGGTTCTAATGAACTTCATATATTGTCCAAATAGATATGGACAAGTGATGAATTGGTAAGCAATGTACAATTGGATACGAGAATGATATGTAGTCTTCACTAGCTAACCAGGTGGGTAACCATGCTTCTTGTCTAGATATGTTGTTATCTAGATGTATTCGCTTTGCTTCTCCTCTTACTCATGCTTTATGGAAACCTCCGTTGCTTCTATTGATACGTCTTGCTTCCATCGCCAAAGCCTATGGTCGCACCTAATATAATATTATTTGGAGTTCCATAACTGGGAATTCCTTCCTTTTTGTCGATCCTTCAACTCTACTTATTGTCGGTTTTAAACCCTAGATTGTCTAGATAAATGGATGAGCCCTATTTTAGTTTCTTGCTATTATCATACCTATTTTTATGTTATGTTTTTTGTTGGTGGGAATGAGGCTACAAATAAATAGAAATAATGGATCGATGAACAATAGGATTTCAGGCAATGTCGGCTTTTTGCTATTGTGATGGGTCACCACCGAAGCACTCTTATGCTTGGATTGGAAATTTGTCAGTTGGAAAATATTCTTTTTAGTTTTAGCATTTTAATGCTTAGAAGTGGGCACATTGATGTGTCACTATGTTCTTGATATCTTGCTTGAATAAGTGTGTTGATAGAGAACAGAGCAGATGTCTACAATATAAGTGTCTTTGTGCTTCTATCTGAGCAAAACTTCATGTTATTCTTAAGCAGATTTAACACCTACAAGTAATTGTTTGGTTTGTATCCTAGCAGGTTGAAGTGAGGACCACTATGATTGACCATGGAGAATTTTTCTAAGCCGGAGAATACATTGAAATGAATGGAAGGTGAGTGGAAAATTGTTGATTTAATTTAATACTTTAACACTTCTAAGTTATTAATGCTCTACTCTTTTTTTTGTGGTATAATTTAGCCTGAAACCAATAAACTATATTATTTTCTTTCTCTTGAATTTTTTTAATTCTTCTTTGTCTTATTAGTTTTTGTCTCCTTATATTTGAGAATGTATGCATATATGACTAACCGACTTTTGCTAAAATGTGATTGCATAATTGAGATATGTTGGTCAAAAACAAGATGCACTGCAAGATCTTCATGATCTTATTACATCAAATAGGTACAATGCATGGAAAACAATTTATGTAAATATTATGTTCAAGTACATCAAGCTTTGTGTTGATATGGGGAGGGGTCGATTCGCCAAACATGGTCTCATCCAATACCACTTAATCTACTTGCAAGTTAATGTTAGTTATTTAGAAGAAGTGATTAAGCACTTCATGGATCTTTTAGCCAAAAGGGTTGACTTGGAATGTAGCCAGGAAAATTATTTAGAGGAAGCTCTTGATGTTAATGACCTTGAAGCTGATAAGAGACCAGAAGACCTAATGCTAAGCTATTTCAGTGGAAAAAATGAAAAAAAAAATCATTTAGATAGGGAGCTTGTGACTCTATGGTTTGAGTTCTTATGGGAGACATATTTGATAGTTCTTGAAATTCTCAAAAACAATTCCAAGTTGATGGCTCTTTATGCTACAAGTTTTGATATTTAATTATGTGAATCCTGCTTCGTATGTACTAAACTTATATTATTTTTGATTTTTCGTATGTAGGATATGACACATCGTGCCCTCCAATTCTGCAAGCAATATAAAAGAACAACAAAATTTCCTAGGTTTTATGAGATTATTCAGAATCATCTTGAAAACCTCAACAAGTGTAACATACCAACTTCCAAGTATAATATTTAACCAATTTGCATTCATATTATCAAAGCAACTCGATGAGTTGGATTCCCCAACTAGCCGAGTAGAGGATTTAATGGCCACATGATTTTTAGAGTCTACTCGACGAGTTGGAGGACCCTAACTAGACGTGTAGGAGCTAAGTGTGAAAACCTGAATTTTCATGTTTGTGTCCTATTTAAAGGACCTTAAGCCTTCATTTCCGCCTCCCTTATCACTTTAACACCCTGATAGGAACCCTAAACGAGCTCGTATCACCTGTGAGATATAGAGAGGCTAAAAGTTTGTGATTTGGTGCATTCTTGGAAGGAGATAGAAGAGCATAAGGCTTAGAACGAGAAGAGGCCCTTGGATCTAGTATTCTTCCAATGCTAGCTGTTATTTGGAGGTAAAAATCTATCACATTGATATTTGTTTGGTTAGATCTCTTCTTTAGGTAATTTGTGGCCATTTCCATCTTCCTTTTTAGCCTTTGAGTCATTTGGACATGACATGGAGTTGAAACTCCAGATCTGGATAGTATAAGGTCACTTCAACATAATGATCCAAGCTTTATTAAGCTATTGGCCAAGTTCCATATGCTAAACCTTCTATAGAGCTTTATTTTGGCATTTTGAGCCCAAGATGCGATACATGGACATAAAGCTTGTAGCTTTACATGGTATTTCAGCCTTGGGAGGCTAGATCTAGAGTTTGGAATCTTATTTCTGCTTAGATTCATCTAAATGAGAATTGGTCTAGAGGGACTCGATGAGTGAATGAGCCAACTCGACGAGTCGACTAGGGTTTTTCCCTATAGTCTGGAAGCGCTACAACTCAGAGAGTTGATGAGACAACTCGACGAGTTGAGTTGGATTTTCCCGATACTTCAGAGAATACAAAGGAGCATGATGAGTTGCATAGATGCACTCGACGAGTTGGGTCAACATGGACTGTTGACTTAGGCATTGACTTTCATTGACTTTTAGGGTTTGGTCAAGACATGAGTAAGGAGACCATGGAGGGGTAAAATAGTCTTTCAGCCTTTCCGAGAGTGAGGAAAGAGGTTAGCCTAACGTTGTAAGAGTTGTGTTTATAAAGTGCTAATTAGAGATGATTATATTATGTAGCCAGAGTCTAGACTGTTTGCGGGGTACTAGATCTACTTACTTACTTACGAGGTGAGTCTTCTCACTATACTTACCTGAGCGGTAATATGGTATGACCAGAGGGTCTTATTTGAGTTATTAACCGGAGGGTCCTATGTGCTTATACTGAGATATGTGATATTATGCATTTTGTCTCTATGATATATGATATATTATTTTGTGCCTTTCTGAGTTAGGACCGGAGGGTCCAAACCGAGTTGTAAGACTAGAGGGTCTTCATTGAGATACAGGACTAGAGGATCCAACCCGAGCTGTGAGATCGTAGGTTCTTCACTGAGACACATGACCAGAGGGTCCATACTAAGCCATGATACCGGATGGTCCTCAGCGAGACGCATGATGGAAGGGTCCATGCCAAGCTATAGCCATGAGAGGCTTATTATTTGTGTATGTGGTTTTTTGTAGAAATCACTAAGCTTCATGCTTACCGTGTTGTGTGATATGTGTTTCAGCTAGTTCTCAGGATCGTGGGAAGGCGCCGACTTGATTGTAGACACGTCTTCGAGATTATGTTTGAGGATTCTATGATATTATCAGTTGTTTTGTTGATTTGTGTTTTGATAACTGACGCATTTGTGGTTTTTGGGAAATGTGATATTGAGTTTTATGTGGTTTAGAAATGAAAATTTTGTTTGAAAATTTAGAGTGTTACAACAAGTATAGAGGCTAGAGGGACAAGCCTGACCTAAGTACCCCTGAAAGTCTACAATTTTACCTGGACACAAGGTTTGAGCAATTGGAAGTTACAACCAAACTAGAACTCTAGCAAGTGTGTATGGTATTCATATAGGAACATACATTAATAAAAATTTTACCGATATAGGTTATCTACTCTAGATTATTGTCCATATATTTGTTTACCTGCAATAGAAATGTTCTTACATTTATAATAACTCTAAAAGCACCATCAGATCTGTGTATGAATGGACAGTTGTATCTTGCATCAAGCTAAATATTTGTGTTGGGTGGATCAGGTCACTATTTCATGAGCTTTCTCCTCTATATAATCATCTTGGCAAGGTTTGTGCCCCATTATTGTTTTAAATACTTTCTTTCATTGTTATGACATGCTATTCAACTTTATTATTAGCCGATACACTTGAAGATTTGGTTATTAGCTTGGAACAGTCACTTAAAAAGATAGGTGGATACCCTAGAAAGTAAGACAAAGAGCCACCTTCAACAATTATGTTGATATTTTTTTATTTGGCTAAGGTTGTACTTGGACTTTTTTTCACATTCTTATTTTTATGTGGTGGGGCTTAATGGCTAATTAAGTGATCCATCGTGATGACAGAAAAATGACTCTTGGTGCATATATTGAAATGCTTAGAATCCAAGATGTCTTCATGCTCATTATTACTTTTTCTAGGCATGTTGTTGGAGCTATAAGGTCAAACCTTCTTATTTTCTTTCATATTTTAATTTGTTGTACTTAATTTTTTTCTTCTGTGGATGTTACATTGACTTGTATAGTTCTCCTCTAAAGAAGACAATGAGCTGCAAAAGATGCATGCTTCATAAATGGCCCAATGAAAAGGTTTTAATCTCAAAAAGCTCTATACTAACCATTATGATTTATTTTTCTTGGATTCATGGTGTTAATACTCTTTTAATTTTTTCCATTAAGTCATTCTTTGTAACACTAATACTGATTTTCAGATTGAACATAAATCGACATTGGTGAGTGAAAATATTTGAGTATTGAAATTATGCTACTAAATGCATGGTTTGGGTTTTCAGATGGAAAGGACTGAAATTGCAGTGGTAGTAGAAGAGGGTATACCCGGAAAGAAGAATATGTTTTGTATCAGGAGCCACTAAAAACATGGAAGAACTGTTGAGAAACTGGTTTGTGCAATGTCGAGAAGGCTAAATCAATTATCTATAATCTTAATCAAGCTCTTCAATTCATAAGTGATTCATCTATTTTATTTAAAATTCGAAATGAGTTAAATCTTATAGTATTTCTTTATGAAATTCATTTTTAAGATTATTAATAATCTTGAGCTAAGGTGCTTACTTGCTCCCTAATCTAATTGTAGGTTGTAAAGAATATGTTTCTATAGTAGGATGGGCTTCAGCTTGACCACTTTAATTGGAGTTATAGTGGTAAGAAAACCATATTATTACTAAATATTCCTTCCATATTACATAATGATTTTTCTTTTAATTTACCGTTGAAATGATTATCTTATAGGAATCAGTTAGAGCTTTGAATTTATACAATGTGATCCCATGACTTAACAATATTCTTAATAGATCTATCTTGGTATTATGCTCCTCGTTACACATTTGAAAATCCCATTTAACTTTATGAGGGTGAAATTAATAATTACACAAACATTTTCATTGGATTTTGTCATTTACAATTATGTTCTCTGGGTTGTGTTGTATATTTTGTGACTGTGAGCGAAAAAAGAACAATGCACTTTCTTTGAAAAGTATGTCCGATATATTTACTGATAAAAAAATTCTAAGTATAATGTCTTAATAAGAAAAATATGAAGAGTAGTATGTTATAATGGGATATTTCTAATTACAATATCTTAATAACAAAAAACATCTAAATTACAATGCTGGTGTAGAAAAAATGTAAGTTGGTTGTTATACCACACAAGTAAATTAAAGTAAGTTGATATTTCTTGCATATGTTTTTTTTTCTCTTTTTTTGTACTAATTTTACCCATTTCAATTTTGCAGCATAATCGACTCGCGTTTCGGCCAACTGGCTATGTAAAAAACGACACGGATTATGATCATTTATTGCTCCAATCCATTTTAAAAGACATTAGTACTAGTTTTGAGCATGTGCTTAAAGGCATTATACTTTTAATTATTAAGTTACTTGCCTTTTGACTTTGATGACATTGTGCTTATGAAGATCAACAACAGATTTCAACAGATGATTATGATGCTAGAACAAGATAACATGCTTTAATGATTAGACCATGACTTGATTACTTTGTAAAAATTGGGATGAGTGAGTTTGTGCTCTCTCTCTCTCTATCTATCTCTCTCTCTCTCTCTCTATCTCTATCTTTATCTTTCTCTCACACACACGTACATACACATCACCCAATAAGTAACATCCTCATTTTTTTCATCCATGAACATCACAGGTTAAAAGGTTGGTAAACTCGACTGACATGAAATTGATCACTTTGATGTTAGTTGTTGTTGCTCTTTTGTACAACAAAACACAAATGCAGTTTATAGCAACATACTTTTATTTGTACATTGAAAATATGTTTTATATCATTGTAATTTCTATTCGTTTTACTTTAGAAAAACCATTACACAAACAAAACAACACCTTCTGTCCTTCACAACACGCGAGAATGTCCACTAGTTGTATTTATAATTCAATCGTGCACTTACAATGAATGAATCTGTTTTTTCTATTTTGGAAATGCAAAAAACCTTACTAGTACCTGTTGGAAGCTTATTAGTTCTAATGACATAATCACTTTTAGTTCTCAAATGGTGCGTTCACCTGCGGTTTAGGTATTTTTTTTCCGTTTTTTCCCACAAATCCGAACCTAATACTATTAGATTTTAATGTAAATGATAAAAAAGTGAAAAACATGAAGGTATAAAAGTGTTAACCTAATTTTGTTCATAGTCCCCAGTAGAAATAATTTTGTATGTTTGCAAAAT